AATTAAAAAATAAATGCATATTACATTAAAATACTGAGTATTTTTTGTATCATGTGGAATTTTTTTTGATTGACTGTAATTTTTCAACATTATGTAACGCCTATTTTAGAACCAAAATAATGCCTTTCTCTCTTCCCCGACGCCTATTCAAGAGATTGTACGGTGTATTGTTTGTTTTGTGCATGTGTTGTGGACAAAAAATGACCACGCCCATTTAGTGATTGCAATATGTACTTAATAGAAACCGCACCCCGAACTTCAGCTTTTGATCCCAATTTTTAAATTGATACATTGTAATATAAACCGTGGTTTATAATAGGACTTTAACGGTGGTTTTCCCATTTCACACGGTTTTCATCGACCAATTTCGGACCATCGCCCTCAAAATAATTGATGAAATAGTTTCAGGACCCATCGACAGTAGAAAGGTAGAAACTTAAGGCGAAAATAATGAAAAAAACAAACAGATGTTACTATTTTAAAATGGTCATTTTTGGTCAAAAATTCTATTTTCGACTTCTTCTTCAAAACCGGTAGCCTGAATGCTTTGATACTTGGTGTGTATGTACCTTGTGTTGACATCTACTAGATTTGTTCATTTCATGGCCATATCTTTAATTCTCTAATTTTGGCAAATATTTTTGTCATTTTTGGTTAAAAATGGAATTTCAACAAACCACTATTTCCCATTGCTTTGGTGTTAGGCATACATGTGTTTATTATTCTATTGACAACTTTGTGTGGTTGTTTGGCGATATTTCATTTAAAAGTACAAATTTAAACGAAAAGTTGTGGCATATACAGCACTAATCTTTTGTACAATAGCCGTTGAGCAACAGGCCATTGGCCTGTTTTTCCATTAGCCATACGTCAATTTCTACAAACGGATGCAATAAATTGAAACTAAAATGCATCATACTGCAAGTCTATATGTCCCTCAGTATCAGTTTGATGTTCGGTTGACCCAATCAGATCCAATAAAATACATAACATGCACAGCAAAGCAGTCAATTCATTAGCTGGCAATAATAATGGTGAACAACACCAATGTGATGCTGACAGTAACAAGATCACCAGACAACACGTTTTTGCATTTTGAGGCCAGTCAACTTCCTGTTTGTAATATTGAATATAGCTTAACAAGCCAGCTTACCTGCCGGTGGGTTGTCCATGTACTGTCGTAACTGAGCTTCTGTTAATTCAGTTTTAGGCATCATATTATCAACACCTAGATTAACAAGTTGCTGCTTGATGGTTGGCTGAGATAAAAAACTAAACAGATCAGTAGCAGACACTCTCTTTGATGTACCGGTCGGTAGACGCTCAAGAAGATAGATAAGGACTTCAGTTCTGAAAAACATTCCGCATTACTGTAGTTAATATTGGCTGGACAATACATCTGTGTTGCAGTTCCCTTCAAAACGATCTACTAGCTTCCTGATTTCTCGCAACACTGTATTCTATCCTACGTACCACGTATTTTGGACAGAGCCCTCACACTTACCGATCATCTGGCAGCGCCCTCACACCTTCAACGCAGACAGACAATGTAGGTTTGCTTCCCAGTAACTTAAACAAGTTGTCAACAATTTGTTGCTGGTAACTTCGTATTTCTGATTCTTTCTTCTTGAAATCCAATGCCACTAGACCCAACTCATTCTTTGTGGATGGTTTACAGCTGTACCCAACTGTCTGAAACAGGAAAGCAAATGTAAAGGGTGGTGGACATTGCGTTCTGTATGTGCGAGACTTTCCCATATGGAACCAATATCTCAAGCATATTTGCGAAATGACCACCACTATTTAACACTGAATGTCATGCATGCATGTATAATAATATTATAAGTTCTTTGTTGAGAAATTATTGTATATTCTGTTGAATTGTTCATAAAGTTCCCATCTTTCATTGGTATATATTTGACAGTGTATTATGAAATGTTTTTCATCTTCTGTTGTTTTACATATTTAGCAAATTCTTTTGTTAGCTGGTGTTTTGGGACGTGTGTGTCTGGCAACTTCAATCCCAAGGCTATGACAGCTTAGTCTTAGTGTGGCCAATGTTTTAATATCTTGATATTTTTCAGTAATGTTTAAATAGGGTGCATATTTAATTGTATTAATCAAAAGTCTGTATGTGTGTAGTTTAAACTTTCCTCTATTGTTGGTCTCATTTCAGATCTTTCTGTTTTTTAATAATGTCAATATTTTACTTTTTTTTATTATATTTAGATAATGTATCCAAGAGTTTTTGCAACAATTTTAAGGTAATTATGTTCCTATTCCATAATTCTCGATTGTGTTCCTCAGACTATATAGTTTTTTAAGTGCTTGTATTAAGAGTGGGATTCCATATTTGAACACCACAGAAGGTATTCCATCACTGTGCTAGCTTTCCTTGTCTTCAGTTTTCTTAATACAGCATTTATTTCTTGTATTGTAATTTGGTTGTTCAGCCATTCATTTCTATTCATAGCATCTTCTATTAATTCTGTATTTTTGTTCTCTTTTCTACTGGTTGATGTACTTGAGTTTATGCTAATTCATTGGATGTATTTAATCTATTCTGTGTATGGAGTCTCTAAGACATTGCTATTGTTGCTATGATGTGAATATTCTCTTATAACATTTCATAGTTCTTGTTGTGATGTCTCATTTAGATTACTGACTTTATCTTGTAAGGTGCATAATAAAAACCTCAAACCTTTGAATGCCAAACTTTTGTTACCGTTGACAACAATTTTCTCAAAAATTTAAAGATTAAAGACCTGCAGGTACTGAAATATTTATAGAACATGCAAATTTTTGGGTGTGAAAAATTATTGGTTCAAAAGGTTAATGTGTTACACATGATCATCAAAGAATAGAATGCAAAACTGATGACAGAATCTTCTGACACTCTGCAAGCATCCACTGATCTGTGAAACTATATTTACCTTAAACCTGCAAAAAGGGTTATCAGGTGAGAAGTCAACAGATGCATTCTGGGTGTAATAGCCTTTACCAGTTCCCCAAAATGCTTGGATCTGATTCCATTTGGCAAAAACAATGTCTCTTTCATCACCAAATATCATAGGCAAGTGTAGCGCACTGGCTGTGTTTACAAGCACATTGGCAGAGTTGGCTTGCTGGCCTGTCAAGCAACAGAAAAAAGAATAGTTTACAAAATCACTATATTTACCATATTGTATTGTTTTTTTTTAATCAGACAATTTGGTGGTAGTCACAAAAACTAGTTACCATGACATCATAAATTGCTAATGGTACAAAAAAACAAATTAAGTTGTATGGTATAAACAACGTGAAGCTATGATGTATCCTCTCAGTAAGTACAAGATTCAATAGCAGTAACTTAAGCCATTAGCTGAATTAATAGTTTTGTGCACATCAGTTCAACCAAGGTAGTAACTAACAACTAGTGAACTAACCTTGAATGCCTGTACCAAGTCCAGTTGTGCCCAGACCAGTAGTACCAAGACCAGTGGCACCCAGTCCAGTAGTACCAAATCCAGATGACAACCCAGTGCCAAGTCCAGTCCCTAATCCAGTCCCTAGTCCAGTGCCAAGTCCAGTGCCAAGTCCAGTTCCTAAGCTGGTACCAAATCCGGTTCCGAGACCAGTACCTAATCCTGTCGCAGAAGACCCAAATCCAGTCCCAAAGCCTAATCCAGTTCCAAATCCAGTACCCCCTGTGGTAGTAGTTGTTAATCCAGTACCTAATGCTCCTGTACCAAGACCAGTTCCCAACCCAGTGGTTCCAGTTCCAGCTCCAAAACCTGTAACCAAGAATACAGTGACAGACAGAATTGTCCCAGAGAGAAATCATAACTGAGTAGGTTTTTCTGACAATTAAATCTTGGCTTTACATATGTAGAAATATATTCTGTGATGTCAGAGATTCAAATTGTGTATCTACATTTATACTCACTGATTACTACAAGCTATTTAAATGTGCCTTTGGGGGGAAGGGGTAGTAAATACGTATGTAACGAGAAGCATGTCTGCCTATGATAGCTAGACACATTTTCTGTGGTCATGAGTTTGAATCTCACTAGTGTTTATATGTTTGAATGTACATGTAATTAAAGCATATGAACTGATGTCATATCAGAGTAGATTTATTACATGGTCTTGCATACTAATTAACATTAGTAGGAAATATATTCATTTCAGTTTCGGAACTGTTTCATTTTTATTTGACAAACATGATTAATGCCAACATCAAACCGATATGCATGGATTTTGGCGATTGAAAAGAAATGGAACATGGAAACAGTGAGTAGTTCTTGATCGTGATTAGTATATACTATTACTAGTATACTTGTTACCTTGGAAAGAAAAGGATCCTGAGGGCGCTGTTGTGGCTGTAGTAACAGTTCCAAGTCCACCGAAGAGAGAGGGTGCTGTTGTTTTAGTTGCACCAAATCCAGAGAAGCCAGTAGTTCCTGAACAGAATAATAATAAGTTTATTAACACTTACACATTCCCCGGAGGGATTGGCAATGGTTACAAAAGTTTAAGAAGGAATAAAACAAAAAAATAAATAGATAAAATAAAACAAACTAAGCTAATAATACATTACAGAGAATAAAAAAAATATTAAGATTAAATTATAATACTACAAAAGATAGAAAACAAAATGCAAAACTTAAACTGTGAAAGAAAATTATCACTGGGGTTGCTGTCTTATTTCAAAACATTTCTTTAGGTACCTTGCTACAGGGAGTGTTAGGCCACTGTTGTTTAGCAAGGCTATGAATTGTGTCTTTGGTGGCAAATTTTTAAAGTTTTGGATTTTGGTTTTTGCCATTTCAAATAGGACATTTCTTTCGGGGGTATATCTTTAGCATGACATCATTAGGTGATACTCATCTTCTACTTCGTTTTGATCACAAAGGTTGCATAATCTATTAGCAAGGGGTATTCCTTTGTGTTTGCCAGTCTCAATTTTCAAGTTATGGTCACTGAGGCGGAATTTAGTCAAATTTTCGTGCATCTTTTTCATTTTGTTTTTATTGATTGTCGTTATGTAATTCACTTTTCCAAGTTGATATGAATGATGTTTGTATATTTTTGTTAATTCGTCCTAATTGCCTTGCTGTTAGAATTTCATTGCTGTCAACCAAGTTAGACTGGTTGATGTTATTCAGAAGGGAATCTATATTAGTGTACCATTTACTATTAATTTCTCTTTATTTTCTTAGAAAGCTAGTTTTAATAATGGATTTGACGAGTTCTTTACACGATTAAAATATTTGATCATTTGTTTTTCGATAAAAGTCTCCAATGGCAACGTCCAAGTTCACCGTATAAACCCATTGTTGTGATGTTTATGGATGTACCCAAAAGAAAACGAAAATAATTATATGTACATCTTCAATTGGTGATTTGAGTGTAATTTCATCTTTCCACACATCACTACCATATGTGAGAATTGGTCTGATTAGTTTATCAAACAGAGAGAGTGACAGGGGTATACTTAGGTTTTTACCAGTTTTTCCCTTTAAAGAAAATAAGGCCTTTAAAGCTTTTCTTTTTATGCTTTTTAGGCTTTCCTTGAATTTCCCATTAGCATATAAAAAATCAAGATATAAAAAAAATAAAGAGACACGGTCATCAGAACTGCATATGTACACATCTATAGCTGTGGTTTAAATGTATAAGACCCTCTTCAGGACTGGTATGCACACTTGATGTAGACAAGATGTTTGATCACAGTCCTGAGGGACTGTGGTTTGTTGAAGTATTGATGACAGGTAAAGTTGCTGAGTTTTAGCTGATCGATCGGAGCTGATAAAACTGTAGAAGTATTGATGGCAACTTCACAAGCTGCGTCGCACAGTGATGGAGTAATGTATTCGTACCTGTAGTCAACGCACTGCTTCCAAACCCTCCAAACGCCGGAGCCGATGTTGCTGGTGGTTGGCCACCAAACGATGCGCTACCAAAGGAAAACGACATTTTGCAACATGCTGCTTATGACAGAAGTTTGAATCAATGGCGGAGTTTTTATTGTATGGTTGGTGGTTGTGTACTTCCTCGAGAAGTGCGCCCGCTTGCAACATTTTTGTAGTACATTTTGTTTTTACTGTTCTTCCCTCGTACCTTTCCCATGTGCCTATGCAAACGCCCATGCGACAAGGTTGTCGCCCGCGGTCATTTGATTGATTAAATGGGCATATTATTTTTAAAAATGATCTTAAAAATTTTGGAAAAAAGTCATCAACTTTTGTTTTTAATACACTGTATTCAATATTTAAAAAAAAAAAAAGTCGTCTGAAAAGAGAGAAAATAACGGAATTTGTCGGTGTACCTTATTTCCATACCAATCTAAGACATTATTAAAGGTAATAATATGAATAATCAGGATTTTCGAACAATTCTTGGTTACCGTCATCATTTTCAAGGTTGCGTGACCCATTTTGGAGGAGCGGAAGTACTAGTAGTTCGGTGATCATGTACCGTGAGTATACTGTAAAATTGGGATAGTCTGATGAACTGATTTAATGTAAACTAACTATCTGCGTCATTACAGTCACACATAGATACAGAGTGTGTGCCAAATCACACACATAGTCACCACTGTATTAGTACACAAATGTTGCAGTTTTCGCAGGAGAATACAGTTTTGTTGGGCGCCATCACCGGCGGAATTGTGAACATCGCAGGACATGTACGATGTACGAGTATTCTGGCTGTGGTAATAATTCAAGTTTACAGGCGCACTATTCAGCAAATAAAGTATAATTCCGTTGAATTTGGCGACAAAAAATAACCATTCAAATAGACAAATTAACAGTGGGTACTGCACGACTGACGGGTGTTTATTTTTATGATGATCATTCGCATACGCTTGGAATTTTTGGTACGTACTATTTAATGATGCGAAAGATATCCTAGTACATGTAGTTCTTATTTTCTTAAGTTTTTCCACAAAAAAGTAACTTTAACTACTAGCATTCTAGTATAGATTTATGCTTGAACTTGATCGGTAATAACGACGAACATGATTGGCAACACAGCAACAGCCATGAATTTGAAATTGTAACTAACAGTAACAACGATATGACTGTCACCCTGGCAACATATCACTTTTTAATTAATCACGTAGGGAATACATTGGATACACTTCATTATTGTTCGTTAGTCAGCACTTAGAATAAATGTTACTGTTTAATACAAACGTAAACAAGCATACAGAAAATGTGCTAACGGGGCCAGTGTTGAACTAATTATTTCAAAGTTTTTCCAAAATAAAAAAAGTGAGTTACGGCTACGGATCTTATTCTTAGTTCATTTTGCGTGTGTATTTGGGTAGTTATTTCCTCCAACGACTGCGTACTGTATTCTGCGTACTGCTGAAATCCATTGTGTTCATAATTGTGCAATGCCAAACAAAAACACGGTTAAGTAATGTACTATGTTAGTACAATGCTCATGTAATGGCGAATACAAACCCAATCATGGTTTCCAAATGAATTGTTGCGAACAAGAAAAAGCCCTAAAACGAAACCTACTATGTGGATGGTGGATGGAGGGGAATTGTTCTTTAAAGAATCTTCGTTAAACACTAATAGCATTACAAAAAATAGTCCCACGATCTGAGGGTCGGCTAACAATTATATAATATTGACCTGTCTACCGGGCTAGAAATGACTGGAATGTGAAAACAGGACATCATGCAGGGATTGAAGATTATGACAAGCTCATGCTGTGTTAATTCTTATTCTTCGTATATGAGGCATGAGGCACTTTGCGGCTTGTCCGTTGGGTATGGCGACGCGATGGGCGTTTACAAAAAAAATGTGTACAGCGAGTTACTTTAAAAGGAAGCCATGACAATATGCCCAGAAGGCAAAAATGTGCGCATGGTGGAAGGAATGGTACTGGCGTATTTTTATCCTTCATATGGGACAATTTTGTCATAAAACGTATTCTTCCTCTACAAATCTTACAGTATTGTGCGTGGTTCTTGTTATGTCGTTTTAAACGCTGCTTTCACGTCACTTGACAGATTTGTTTTTAATAATAACAAACAAATTGGCCCACGGCTTTGCAATAACAGACAAACAATTAACAAACAACTAGCTTTGTGCGAAGCCTGGGATATCATATATATATATATATTTCGCAGTGACGGATTTATGCGAAATAACCATCGAAAAAAATATTATCAAGCGTAAAATGATCGATTAAATATTGAACAGTATGGATCATGTTTGGGTCATACTGCGTGTGGCCGATCGGGAGAGAAGGTTTTATTTTGTTTAAAATAGGATTTGGATGTAACATATGTGAAGTAGCCCCCTACTTTATAATGGTTTCATTCTATGGTACTCCCAATTCATGGTGCTGTATTAACTCCGTTGTGTTCCTTTGACGCCACTCCTTGATATCGCCAATACATGTCACCATTATCCCCGCTCCATATAAACAAGTCGTCGAAAGAGCAAAGTCTTTCATCTCAATCGAAGGAATTATGTTTGAGAGATTCCTGCCTCTGATTTCACGCTGTGAGGAGTTCACTTTGGGTCAATTAACAGTGGAGCGTTAGACAAAGAGTGCGACTATCTTCCATTCACTATATGTTTGTAGGAGGGAACGGGGCCATGAGAAGATAGCAATGAAAAAGAAAATCCAGAGACGTTCTGAAAAGAACAACGCCGCGGGCATAGTGATGAATTGAATTATATACCGTGGAAATCCCATATATATATATATAAATATACCGTGGACATTCTATAAATATATGTATATATATATAACTTCGTGACATAGAAAACTTTGGGACCGACAGACATCGAACGAAGTCGTGAACACAATTTCGGAGGTAAGTGAAGATGATGTGTATACTGTTTAGATGCTCAGTGTTTGTTGTTTATTTCTATTACATTCGGTATTCAAGGTAAACAGTGTGTATTGTTGTTATTGTCCCTCGCTGCGTCAACAAATTTGGAAGCAAGTAAGTCGCGATAAGTTTACTATCATGCTTTCCAGTATATGTTTGATTGCAATAGTTGATCAAAATGATATTGGTAAAAAATGAGGATAGTCGCGAACAACACATTTGTCTTAGTAATATATAAAAAGTGTATTGAATATGTATGCTTATGAGAACTCCCTTGAACCCTCATACTGGATTTGAAGCCATAATGACGTTACCCCCGATTAAAGTTTCATTTTTGTTACAAAAACAAATGGTAAGAAATGCAGTTTTCCACTATTCGCATTGTTATTTCGGATTTCAAAATTGCCGAGAGCATGGCCTCGGGGTTTAGCCTGTTTAGCGCAAACCACAGTTGCCATGGAAACAAGCACGTGGAACTCACAGACAAGATAACAAGAGGCAGACTTATATTGTGGTTTAAAATGTGACTCAAAAATGATGCCTCAAAAGCTCGAGTTTCACTCGCACGATGTCGGATCGTGCGCCATTATAATTAAGCCTGAGACAGAGTTATACTCTTCAGTAAAACTTGTGCGACTTAATATGCAAAGTCTAGACGAAAACACGATGCGGAAAATGCGATTAATTAAAGCCATAATCACGTTTATGCGACGAACCCAAAACGTTGCACAACACCACCATTGTAGATTTGCCCGGGCTTTTAGCGCCGTGACAAATTAGTCACATGTCGACTTAATAGCTACCTGTTGAGACCCAGTAACACTCGATATCTACGACGCCTAACATGGGCCAATCGCTGTGAACGATGTCCGAACAATTATTCTATACAAGAGATATGATCTGCTGCTGCTGCGATGTCTGCGTTTTCTCGGTACCGCTGACAAATGATGGGCTCAGACCAACCCTATATGCCACGCAGAGACGGCATAGTGAACTAAGTTGCTACTTTAGGAGTGTGGTTACCAGTTACTTGATTACACTACACCCCAATGCAAGTCGGATGGCTTCGGCTGTTTCTAATCAATATTATCGAATTAGTCTACCATACATTAGAACTAATTCCCTCTATACATGTACATGTATATTTTTCACAATACACAGCTGCGTTTCAACAACAAAAATAACTTAAACCATAGACTAAACTAAACTAAACTAAACTAAACTAAACTAAAAAGTACAATCATTACTGCATGGCGTAGATCCTAAATTCAAGTTCTTCTTATCGAACTGTTAATGTTAGAAGAATCCCCAAATGTAAAAAGAGTAATTCAATTTCTAGTCGCTTTCTCGTGCGATTTTTAAAGAAAAAAAATGCGAAGAGTTGTTTAACATCATTGATATAATTCACCAGTAAAAGCAGCGTTTGTGTTTGTCTACTTATCTCTTTACGTCACTCGTACAATAATTATAGGCTGAAATGTACACCATAAAGTGCATGATTTAAACGGAGAATTTCCAAAGCGCGGCATGACAATAGTTCCATCACCGTGACAGTTCCACAGTGACTGGAGGACAGTGGTTCTGTATAGGCCCAATATTACTATAAATAGTGACCGTCTTCGCTGTCAGTTCATTCTTTCTCGTATCGATGTTGCCGTGGCTTGTACTCGCATTTCTGCTCGGATCTTGGCTTGTCTTACCCATGTAAGTATTTAGATTGGTTTGGTGATACTATTTATCATAATTATCTCGTGCTATTTTGGTGAGTTTTCGTTTCTTTATCATCGCTCTCACAACTTTGCTCATGCGACTGTCTTGGCGTTTTGGTGGTTTTCGCAGCGTTTGAGCTAATGGCTGACATAAACCACACGTCATGCATCTTGTGTTTACACCGTAGAAACACATGAACGGACACTCGCTCAACGGCGCCAAAAGTCATTCCATTATGTCACTTTCTTTGACGAGAAAGAAATTTAAAGATTGTGTAATGACTTGAATATTCGTAAATCGTCTGATTGGCACGAGAAACAGGTAGGGGTTCTTTGCGAATAAAACTCGTTAGCACTAATACTACGCAGGGTGGCTCCAAACGTCTAGTATTCAAGACGTCTACATGCCTCGGGCCTGGGACATCGGGGCGTCAAG